CAGGGTTTCTACCTCGGTCTGCACCATATAGGGTCTGTCGTTTCTGATCGATGCAACGTAGTCTGATATTGCGACGTTTTTGAGATGTTTGGCACGTTCCAACATGGCGTCGATCACGATGTACGCACCGGTCCGACCAACACCAGCACTAGCCAATAAACAAAATAAGTGTCAAGCTMTTAAAATAGGAAATAATAGAAATAATTTGTAAACCGCAAAAGCTCTGAAGCCTCAGAAAGCTACCCTAGGGTGTATGATCAGGGGYGGATCCAAGAAGGATGAGCGCTCACATTTTTCGAGAGTATATATTTCTTYRAYAAAATATCATRTAATAATTCATGTCATAATAATATTGATCAAACATGTTGTACTTGTATCGTTATTGCTCGACAAAGGAGAACATCAACAACATAATTTTCTATATAGCACTTGGAGGAAAATAAATAAATCTACAATACGCGCTAAACGAAGTCGATTTTGTTCTCGTCTTCTCCCGCGTTTCGTGTTTACCCAAGTGCTTTGGATTTTTTCTGTTCTTTATGCACACAGAAGTTTGCTTTGAAGCTGCGCGATTTATTATGAGGACTGACCTGCAGTGAACCACCAAAGGACCAGCATGATCTGGATTCACAGCATTTACTTGTCCACGTAAGCCTAAAACGGTTGTAGAATACTGTGGTACTCCATGATCTGGCCACACAGTGAACTGGAAATGGTTAACCTGGCGATTCTCGTTAGTGCTGTTTGACTAGTCATACGAAAATGTATTACATAAGAAATAATGGTATATTTTGTTCAACATCCTTTCTGAGGTCCTGTTCCATCGCGGCCGGAACCCACATATAGTCAGCTCGAAGCAAATCAATTTATTATATCAATAGGGAGAGAGTAGCACGGATGAACTGGGTCAAATATGCAAGATTAGGTCGAGGCGGACTAAATTTATTTTCTGAGATTGAGGCCAAGAAATGAAACCGATTTCATACTATTTTAAAATGCGCGATGTTCACAAACCATTTAGATTTTACAATGAGGAAATGGGGTACCTTTGTCAATAAGAGAGTTCGTATGATATAATCAGGAAAAACCTCCGACTTTTGAATTGTGACTGTGATGTCGCGGTGAGTTTCTTTATCTTCTGGCCAGTACTGATGACATTTTGTCTTCAAAATAATATCAAAGATACTTACATATTATAACAAAATAGTCTTCAAAAGCCATAGAGAATATGGCAGAAAYACCGTTATTATTTGGATTTTAAAGTGTTATGAACCACACACAATAATTCCAAACCTTTGAGCCTTCTTTAAGATTGGTCAGCATGACTATAGTATATGAATTCACTTCCCATATCATTTGCCAAAAATCAGCAACAGTCTGCGGTGTAGGGCCTGTGGAATGTTTATTTACGAATAATTRATTGATTAAATGATCACATAATCAATTTTGCATTGAAAATAATTTTTTGATTTAAATAATTGATTGCTTCATTCAATWGTTGAACAAATTGTTTCCTATCAGTGATTTATTCATTTTAAGTTCATTGGATCACCTACAGCCTCCTCCGCAAACAACCCTTTTTTCCTCCTTTGGGCTTCCTTTATAACGATCGTATTGACCGCTAGGGACAAGTGACGAGAAAGAAAACACGCCTCCCCTTTCTCGYCACCTCTCTCCCTCTTTTGACTTCCAAAAAAGACAGGAAGCCCGTGATTCTAATGAATAGCTAATATATAGTTTGGTTTATGGTTAATGCAGCAATACCTTGAGTAGCAATGTATGTCTTTGTACTTCTATCATAGCCCTGTAATAAAAAGACTTATCATTTCAAACAACTTAGCATGCTACTCTAAGAGAATGCTGCTGTTATTGCAAAGACAGTAATGTCAGTTTAGGAACACTGTCCCTGTCCCTGTCCCTTTCTCTCTTTCTTCCACTGCCCTAGACCCTGCCCTAGTCCCTGCCCTAGTCCCTGCCCCTCACCTTGATAAAGGATGCGTTAATGTAATCTGAATGTTCGTCATCCACCTGCCGACTTATCACCACACGAGAATTGTCATCTAATCAGAAAAAAATCATCAAATTGTTAATGTCAAGCAATGATTTTACATTAGAAGATGCTTATGCATATCGATGGCTTCTTTGAGCAAATGCTCTAAAGAAATGGRAGGTTTGAATATMAAGGAAGACCATACTCACAGGTAACAATGTTTCCATAACGGTTCTTCGTCTTGTTGGCGGGTTTCTTGGCGATGTCCACGGGGAAGGCATGAGTATTTGATAACATCTTTAAAGTTGAACAAACAAATAAGGCTGAATGACGTTATCTTTAAGCTATCTCTATGAGTAGTAATGATTTGAAATTTTTATATACCCTAAACTCCTCTTTAAGCTCTGAGTAGTCAGTGGCCTTCAAAGACTTCATATNACGTCACTTCATTTGCATTTACTAAGTTTCAATCGCCCATAACTTAGAAAATACAATTTAAAATCGATTTCTTTCTTCACAGATGAACTTAGCAGCATTTTCTCTTTTGGATGAGAATGAATTTCTAATGGTGTCATGTGCACTTTAAGCTATCTGCTATGAGTAGTAATGATTTGAAATTTTTATATACCCTAAACTCCTCTTTAAGCTCTGAGTAGTCAGTGGCCTTCAAAGACTTCATATACTCCAGAAATTTATGTTTTGTCATTGGTTTTATAGCCTCTGAAAATCAACAAAGAATTCGTAAAGGTAATCTAAAAAATGTCCACACAAGATATACAATCAAATGTATTGTTGGTCAAACGTAATCTTAATTCAAATTGGTTTTAACTAGAAAACAACCTTTGTTTAGAAATTGTCGYTCATCACACTCACTATATTGGTTAGCAATAAGGTCAGTTTATAACTGAAATTGAATTCATCTTGATCGAGATTATCAACTCGTTTCGACCCATGTTTGTGGGAGCATTTTATATGCTAAAAGTCAGTTCTAAAACTTTTTATAGTGCGTTACGTGTCAAATTCAAATTCCTGGCCTTATTGGCAAAATATCCTATTGAAGATCTGCAGTCTACCTGAATGTCCTCTAACATCAACGTTTACATAAAGTTTGTTGTCGTTTTTGCTTTTAGCGGATGTTTCTTCACGGTTGCCATCAGCCTCTTTACTTAAAACATCAAGAGAGATAGGCGGGCAGTCGTTCTTTGTATTACGTTTCCTGTTACGATATAAGATAATGTTGGTATTAATCTTTACCTAATTTGGGAAGGGAGATTGCAATTTTCAGTTTGAAATCATTAATTTCAGTTTTAAATTCAAGAATTTGTGTCGACAACTAATATTTTTTTCTGATATAACCAATCCTTTTTTACCTTTTGTATTTGAAGCCCAAAAGAGCTAGTATAACCACAATTACAAGTAGGGATACTA